GTAAAAAAACTTGCCTTGTAAGTCAAGGCATGTGTCCTACAAAGTCAACACATATTGGAGGTCCTATAGAACGTCGCCATGTAGCCCCTAGTTAAATAGTATATATAGAGACAAGAGTGAAGGCTTCTTCACTCTTGTCAACTCCTTTCTTGCTTCTAGTCCAGGTTCAAGAGTCTTTAGTTTCTTGTCTTGTGGCAATAGCCATTCCAGTTTCCTTTTAATATACCTACTTGTTTATATTTGGACTTATTATATCGAGATAGCCTTTTGGTGTATATTTTTTTCTCATCGAGTCTTTGTCCTTGACAGTTATTTGTTATACAAATTAATTATGCCACATTGTTGAAAACTTTCTTAGAAGTTAGATGCATATTTTGTAAGTTAGACATATATCATGTAGTCTATGTAATTTTGACATGTAGCTTGTTAATTAGATTTTTAAAATGGAGGCAAGAGTGCAGTCTTTAAAAGTCTTATCAATACATTTCTTTTTTCTATTGTAATTTTCAAAGACTTTGGTTTTTTTGCCTTTTAAAAATATTCATTTTAATTTTATTTTATATATATTTATTTATTTATTTATCTTTTATTTATTTATTAATTTACATATTTATTTATATACTTTGAATTCTTATCATTGATATCAAATATATAATATAATAATATATATTATTTTTGAATTCTTAATTTTAATAGTAGAATTTAGATTTCGAAATTAATGCTTAGATTTCACCATATACACATAAATATATTCATACATTTATTATGTACATATATATATATATATATATATATATATATATTAATTAATTTTTTTATAATACAATCTTCTTTTAAACCAACTTAAATAAGCTTTGTTTTATTAAAAATAATTGACATAAATATATATATATATATATCATTTTTTTATTAATTATGAAATTTTTTTATACTTTGTTTGATGTCTTGTAAACATAAAATTTTAAAAATATATAGATCTTGATATAGATTTGATTTCTTATTGCAAATTTCATAAAAAAATATATATATTAATTTATATATTTTAAACTTTAATTTGTTTTAAAATTTTAATATTACAATAATTATACTTAAAGATATAATTTTATTCTAATTAAATAATTCAATCCTAAATCTACTTTGTATTAAAGAATTAGAATATAAATTTATTTTTAAATATTAAAAAATAATAAACATTATTTATTCAAAAAATATATAAACATGCATTTTCCAAACTCTCATTTTTAAAAATTACTTTCAAATTTGGAGTTTTATCAAGTATGAAAATGTTTTATTCTAATTTTTTAAAGAATAGAACTCTAGCATAAATTATAATAGGTCAAGATATTAATAAATAATAATATTTCGAATATTTTCAAATCATTGCAACTTAGAATATTAATTAACATAGAAGATTAGACAATGCTTGATACAATTTCATGTTAAAAAGATAGAAACTATGCATTACATTTACTAAACTTATTATATACAAAAAGTCAATTGAAATAAAATTTTAAAATTTTAAAAAATATTTTATTTTTTTTAAGATTAAACATACAAAAATTTATTACATTATATATATATATATATATATATATATATATATATATATATATATATATTATCTACCTGAAGATATAGGTGAATTTGCATGATTCTTTTTAAATATATATATATATATATATATTCTTAAAAGAGATTAATTCTTATTTTTATTTTAAATTTTAGAAATTTTAATTGATATATTGTAAAAAATAAGTTAATTTTAGTATATCTCGTTTAATAAAATATTTTAAATTAAATAATTATATATTTTTAAAAATATTATATAATTAAATTATGATAACATATTTATTATATCTTAATAAAAAGCATATATTTAAACAATTTTTTATTTATTTCTACTACATATTTCATAATTTTATCTTTTTAAAATTTAATATATATATTTATATATATATATATATATATTTAATTATAAATTTAATGAATTTTTCATATAATTTATAGATCTTAAATAAAAAAAATTAAAAATATTATAATATTAAAAAATAAATAATATCTAAAAATAAATAAGATATGAACTTATAATTAAAAATAAAATAATATCTATTTTATATTATACATATTATGAATTGATTTAGTTTTAAATTTTTCTTTTTTATTTTGAAAAAGATATCCCTAAACTTAATTCTTTTTTTTGAAATTAGAATCTCTCACTTTAACTTAAAGACTTCAAAATTAGCCTCCAAGTCTATTGTAAACTTTTAAAAAATATGTATGTATGTATATAGGGAGTTGTTAAAGCCACATCTCCCTTTGCCATCTCATAATTGATTTCATCCATTCCTTGTTTCTATCTTCAATTTCCAATCCCTTGTCTTCTTGTCATTTTTTATTCCCTATCTCATGTTTACATTCATATCTCCATTCTCTTCTTTTGTTCCTTGTTCCATGTCTCTATTCATGAACTTCATTCCTTATCCCATATCAATGTTTTTGTCATTCATTTTTTGTCTCCTATCTCAAAATCCCTCCTCTCCTCTTCTTCCTCCACCTCTAGAAAGAAGCTTTTTGTAGTGCAATCTTTAAGAGGAAGTGGTAAAAGTAGAGATATTATAAGGCAAGGATTTTTATTTATTTATTTATTTATTTTTAATATAGTAATAAGTTTTTCTTATTATTATTATTACAAGGCCTCAACTATTATAGATCAATAAGGGGTTAGAAAATAAAAGGACATGAGGGAGAATGAACTGGTGTTGTATTCGATGAAGTTTGTTTGAGATTGCACTAGGCACCTAGTTTTGGAAGGTAAAATAGAAATTCCAACAACAAGGTCCTAACAGCTCTAATAAAATCCTAAAAAAACTCAAATTAAATCTTTGTAATATTAATTAGATTTTAATCAAATTCAAAAGATATCTTTAAAAAATTATTAAAGAATCATTAAGAATTTATAATTGAATCTTAAAGAAATATATGTAATAAAAATCAAAAATGAATCATAACGAAATTATAACATAATCTTAAATAAATCCTATTAAAATCCTAAATCAATGCTAAAACAAATCCTACTCTAATGCTAATCAAATCATATATTAAATTCTAATCAAAATTTAAAATAAATCTCAATCAAATCTCAATCAAATATTAATCAAATCTTAATAAAATTCCAAAACAAATTCTACTAAAATCTTAATTAAATAAAATCCTATTCAAATCCTAATAAAATTCTCACCAAATACTAAACCTTAAATCAAATCCTAATCAAATCTTAAAATAAACTATATTTAAATCTTAATAAAATCTTAATAAAATCTTAACCAAACTATTAATCAATTCTATAGGAAATTGAAACTCTAATAATTAATAATCTAACCATTCATTTCAACTTAAAATCTTCATGCCTATCAATTATTAAGTTGAAAGCAAGTACAACCAATTTGAAAAAGATCAAATTTATCAAATAGAAGATAAACTCTAAAATCTGCTTAGGTCTTGGTTGGCCTCTTTTTCCAACCTTGGTGCCAATGTCCTAGTACTTATATTTAGAAATTATATTATTCAATTAATTTTAAACTTTAAAAATTTATTTAAAATCAAATCAACTACTACTATGAAATGTTTTAATTCAATCCAATTAGCAAATTATTGCATATCTTAGAAATCTTTATTGGTCCTTTAAATTCTAATTCTTGAGATTCCAATATGTTTGAATTTTAATAACCTTTAAATAAATTATTAAATCAAGTTCAAACTTACAATAAACATTTAACATAATATTCATCACACAATCACAAAATTTTATCCATAGATCATCTTCCAATTTCAAATAATTCTCTAAAATATGAATTCTTTATATTTTTCAAAATCCAAAGTCATCTTTGAAATAACCCTAACTTTGCAAATCCTTTATAAAGTCAATACAAACTCAAATCACTCAAAATTGTTGTCAAAGAACCTTTCATAAGTATCTTTTCAATCTCCAATCTCTAATCAACCAAAGAATCATGAAATTATTGTAAGTGAGCAATTTTATGCCCTTAGATTTGATTTCAATCTAGGTTCATAAATGGTCCTCTTCATGTACAAATTCTTAATTTCTTAAGGTAATTTTTGCTAAAAACTACTCTTAATTTCTTCCTAAAGATGTCTAAATCAATTATTTTTCTTATGTACTTTGATTTGCCTCATTTATGGCCATTCAAAGTGAGTAGAAGTTATTTTTATAAAAATGCAATGTTAGTACTTATTATTTTTTACTACTTTCTTATCTATTATCTATGTTTCTATAATAATTTGCTATAATAATTTCACTTAAGCTCTACTATAATATAATCTTTCACTTCATGACTATATTACAATACAACACCAATGCCCATTCCAAGTTGGAAATGGAAACTAGAGGATGGGGAGTTGGGATAGGGAACATGGAACTAAAGAAGGGAATGGAGATAAGAAATATGGAATATAGAACTAAGAAAGGGAATGGGGACATAGGATTGGAAATAAGAGATAAAGATAGGGGATGGATGGAATCAATCATGAAATGGCAAGGAAGTGTGGCTTTAAGAACATTGAAGTGTAGCAAAATACAAAAAAAAAAAAAAAAAACAAAAAAAAACAAAACAAAAAACAAAAAATCTATGATAGATTAATAGAGAATGTTAAGAACTTAGTTCTCCATACTAAGTCTTTTTCTTACTTTCCATAATTTCCAAAGACTACAACAAGGTACATGAGCAGTTACTCTCATGCAATAGAATAAACAAATCTGAGATAGATGAAGAGAGATTTTATTTGCCTAAAACATGACTAGAATGTAGAACTACATGAAGGTTAGAAAGTTGACTGTTCTGTCCTTGCACAAGACGAAGTGCGAAACAGACCAATGCAGTAGATGAAGTCAAAGTTGCATCAGTAGTACATTTGGTTTTGAGGGGCATGGCTGGCAATGTGGTGAAAGAGTTGAGTTGAGTTGAGTTGAAAATAATGCCTCCAGCTCAGCAATGGCTCCTCCTCGCTCACTGTTGCTGCTTTTGTTCCAAGTCCACATTCCTGCAAAGCCTGGAGCCCCATTTCATGCACCCCCCCCCTCCCTTTAAAAAAAAGGCAAGACCTTCGTGTTGTAGACTGTAGGGAATCTTTGTTAAGGTTTGTGTATGCATTTGTGGGGTTGCGCCTTACTGTGTTTGCAACCACTATTTGTGGGTTCAATTCAGAGGGTGGAGGAAGGGGAAAGGAAGGAGGGATTTTGATGATTTTGCTTTGAAGGGCAGGCGTTGATGGTGGTGGAGGTGGAGGTGGACATGGAGCAGCAGGGTGTGTCTCCAAAGGCATCGACCACAATGGTGGAGGTGGTGGCAGTGCCAGACTCTCCCCCACATGCCACACCTGCCTGTGATCCCTTGCAATGCCTTACCTCCCTCTGTCGCTCGCTTTTGCTTTCTGGGTCCCTCAATCTGCCCTCGCATTTTTGTCAAGGGCTGCTGCAGCAGTCAGGCGGTGACTATGCAGCAAGTACGCAGCTGATCCCCTTGACTTGTTTCGTTTCTCGACTTCTTCTTCTTCTTTCCGTGTAGAATCTGTGTAGTAACTTTAATAATTGTGTTTTGCTTATGCTCTAACATGCGATGGCCTGGAGTATCTTCATTCCTGTCAGTGTGGAAAAATATAGGGTTTCTAGAGTTTGGATATTAATGCAATTTTTTTGCAGACACGGGTGGAGACGTGGGTTTCTCCTTGTTATCAAATGAGATTGAGGATACCATTATTGAGGGCATGCCCGTGGACCCCTTGTACGTGCATCTAGCTGCGGCCTTGTACAGATGGATCTGTACGAGGCGCTTCCCACGCAATATGGCGCCCATAGAAGGAATCAAGGAGGATGAATCCTGGAAGTCTCGGCTGGATGCCTGGAATGAAACAGTTGTCACACACGGCTCTGCGCTACTTGAGGTGATCGATACTGCTCAACCCAAACTTTCATGTTTCTCAAGTCCTGCAATTAAGGCAAGATTACATCTTGTCTTCTGGTTCAGCGATTGGTAGTACTCGTTCACCAATTGCTGATTTGATCATGAGTAATATCTGCTATGTTTCTGGACGCTTGAATCTTGTTGGTCATTGGTGTTTCAGCTGTGGCAAGGGATCGCATTGAAGCTTGATGTGCAGGAGCCCTGGTCCTCTGTACTTAAAGGCGAGTTTCTTCCTTTGCCCTATTCTTCCTTATCCTACAGGGTTACAGACGCAGAAAACCTCCAGGGTGGTCACTATTAGTTTGTGCAAAGCGCTTGGTCCCTCTGTGTCGTGATATGGGGAAATTTCGTTTATTATACTAGGTGATGATGGAATTACAGCTTCCAGACATGACATTGGAGTTTGTAATTTGCTGCAGATGGGAGGAAAAGCGTCGAAGGCCGTTGTGCGACTGACGCGTACAGGAGGTACGAGTGGAAATTGCCTGTTAGCTCGCTGGTGATGTGCTTAACGTTAAGGTTTTCATTCTAGATTATAATCTTTGGATTTTGTAGCATATCATATTTTTGATGTGAAAACAATGCGCTTCGCAGTTTGTCGCCTGGTTGTTTGATGCTAGTGAACGAGAGCTTTCTCCTTCAAATCAAGGTTTTGATCTTCATAGCCCTCGGACTTTCTGTGTCATATGAGATTGACGCATAGCCTTCTTAGTCTTGATTCGTATGTCTCTTGGTTCTTTCACTTTGATGTGCCGGACATAAGTTACGGAAAGGTGTTGGATAGCGTTGCTTCTTTATCTCTCTAGTTAGCTAACTAGCATTGCTTGTTTCAACTGGGGAATGTTTCGCATGTACGTTTTCGTTTGCAAAAACGAGATAAAACACGATCTAGATTATGCTCAATTTGTGATAGAATTCTTGATAGAACCTGCGTCGGTGTACTTAAGCTCGTTTAGGGTTTCAGGAAGTTCATCGGTATCCAACTTTCCAAATCATGATCGAGACAGAAGGACTATTGAAAGTCTTACCCGGAGTGGAGTCCATTAGTGAAGGTACAATCCAACTCCTCCATTCAAGGTCCCAAATTCTCCAGAAGCACTGCTTTGTTTCTGATCTTTGCTATACCCTGACTTGGAATATTTAGCGGTTGTTGCGCTGGTGCTAAGGAAGACATCTCCAGCATATTTAGAAGTCTTCTGTCTCAAGTTCCTCCGCTTGCATCTCTTGTGACAGGTGTTCAGATTTACAGAAAATTTTACTCTTGCTCGAAAGAGCAAACATATGGGGTGTTGGGCATTCATGTGGTTCGCCCTGCGCAGAGAGATCCTGCTGATCTTTTATCTGACATCCTCAACGTATGTCTGCTTCCCTCCATTGTAACATTGAATCTGTGAGATTTCGAGATTTTCCTTATGGAGCTTAGGTTCTTTCTTTCAAGTTGCTAGATAAGATTACATGAATACATTGTTAGGAGTAGGTCTGGATATGTTTCCCTCATCTATGATGGTATTGCAGACCCTTGGAATAGATGGAGTGAGAGTCTTACTAGGTATGCGAACTACGAACGGCACACTGAAGGAGGCTCTGCCACCTCCGAAATCTCTGCTGGCTGATTCATTCTCAGCTCTGCAAAATCCAGATGTAAGACTTTTGGTTGTTTTCCTTTACTATGTCTCTTCTTATGGGATGATTGATTAGAAATCAGTGACGTTGCATATTGCTGTCCCCATTAATGCCCTAATACCCTTATGGAATGTTCTACTGGTGTTTGTTTGCAAGATAGGTTTAGGTTTTGGGTCTTTTTTTCATTTATTTTGCAAGAGGAAGAGCCTCCAACTTTCGAGTAGCCATAAGAGGTTTAGCCAGCACATCTTTTCAAACAACTGAAGAGCTTGCTTTTAGCTGGTAGTGCAGGTGTAAAGTTTAATAGATGACGTCTAACAGGATTATAACTAATGCATCCAATCTAACATGATCACTGGACGAACACAGTAGTTTTAATTTGTCCATTGTATCTGCAAGAGAAGGGCACAATACTGAGATCGCTAACTGAGAGACAGTCCACCCTATAGTTACTGCAAAAACCTACCACCCCTCATACTTTAGGCGTTGAATATTTGCTCGCATGTGTAGGTCTTTGCTACCAAATCATATTCAGATTTCACATCGTAGTAGTTCAGATTAAAATCAGGCTTCATGTAGCTGCAGCATGTGCACCAGACAGTTCCAACAGTGTCTGTTAACGCCTGTTGCTCTGATATGTAAAACTCGTGACTGCATAATTGTGTAATTCGTGTCGACCAAGTTGAAAAGTGGGAGATTGGGAGGGCTGGAGATTGCAGGCTGCCGGATATCCGTAGGAGCTCGAGCGCTTGCAAAGCATGCACCCCGCAGTCTTGATGGCTGGTGGGGAAGTATATCTGGGACTGGTGTGGTTTTCTACTTCTTGTTACAGTAGTGTACGTTTTTATACGTGTAGTTTCCTGTATACTATTTCCTGCACGAGGGTTAAAATTGCTGGTAGAAACGTAATCCTAAACTCCTGGATTCTTGTTTGTGCAAGTGCAGAAGCTGCGAAAAATAAGCTCGCAGAGACGACAATGCATCGCTTGATGAAGCACGCAGTATGGATCAACATTCATCTGGCTCCAATTCCTGTTTTAGAAATACGTGTGGCAGACGGCTATGGTGCACGTTGGCTGGCTGATGGTAGCAAGGTAACATTTTCTCACAGCCTCTTTGAAAGGACCCAGCTATTCGATACATGAGTCAAGGAATTTATTAATTTTGAGATCAGCCCACATAATCTACTGGTGCTCAAGCATTGTTCAGATAGTGACTGATAATCCTGTTGGTTTCACGTATTCAAGTGCTGTATATATTGAGTACAAAGGGTAGGCTCTCACCACCACTCTTGTTGGATGCTTGAACCACAGTTCCGCGGATTTTTAGAACCTCCCATGGAAGAAGGACACATGGTGAACTGGAGGCATTGAATAGTTTCGGGGTTTTGTTGAATGTTAGGTGTTCCTATGATGTAATTAGTTGAGTCAGTATTCTGTCATTGTGGCTGCTCCGATCAGTAGTTGATTGATTAGCGTAGGTTTATTCTTATTTTATGGGATGTGAGAATAGAAACTGTAGCTGTATGTAGGAAATTGCAGCAATGTGATTGATTAAAAGTGTCACGTGGGATTTTACAGCATGGTTTTAAAAAACGTTATTGAATATGAAAGGTGAAATGATGGTTTTTGTATATATCAACAATTTTCGCATGATATCTTTGTTCTTTTGACTAATTCGTGTTGAGAATACTGTTCACATTCAGAATTAATCATTTATTTTGCAAAATATAATTTATAATTAGTACGGATTCTTGGTGCACCTTAGCTCTTCATCTAAAATGTTCATGTTTGGTGTTTTTTTGTTTTTGTTTTTGTTTTTATATTTTGATCAGTTCTGTATTTCAATAGATAAGGTTAAATAGCCATACTTGAGTTAGCTTGTTATGCATTACAGCGAATGAATGTTAAAATATACTTTTTATTGTTGGAAATGGCTAAATGAGCGTTGAAGATCCTCAACCTAGAATCCAAGTCAACTCTCTGAAACATTTTTCTTGATTTCTCATTGCCGTTCTCGAATTTGATGCAACTCCAGAATTCTCTAAATGTATTATCACAATTGAACAGTTGAAAATTAGCATTAAGCTTCACGTCAAATACTGTTAGAAAGTTGGTTCTTGACCAGTGACCATCATGGAATCATTTGCATATCGTAGAGAATCCTTTGTTTTATTTTTTATTTCTACTTACTTAAGACGGGGTTTTCATCGGTTTGTTTCCTTTTTTATTTTATATTTTAGTGGTTATTTTGCTGTAATCTTTTCTCTCTTTTTTTTTTTTTCTGTTTTAATTTTTTTTTCTTTTCTTTATCTCCTCTCTCTTTCTTAAGGATCAAAGACAAACAAAATCTTTGAATACTAATGTTTCAAACAAAGACACAATATAAGTTGTATATCATCTTATATTGCCCTGAATTTGATTTTGATTTTTGGTTTTTTAATTTTCAAATAGGGTAGGTACATTTTGAATGCATATATCATTTTCCGGAATGTTTATTCTACTTGCACTACATACTCAAATACTACACAAGTAACTAGATGTTGATTTTTATCTTAAATTGGAAAAGAAAAAAAAAATGTGTATGGTAAGAATGACCTCTTGTGATTCCCCTATTAACATTAAACTTCACAATTAAAATTATTTAAAAAAAAACCAAAGCTTATTTTTATATAGTAAGAAGTTTTAATTCAATTTTTTTTAATGTAAACTAAAGACTGAAAATCCTTTTATGGGAGCTTAGAACACATTATAGAAAACAGTCAAACATGACTACAATTTACCATGTATTTTTTGAAGTTTATTATTTTATTTTTATTATTTTTATTATTTATTTAAAATTTTAAATTCAATTTTTTTTATGGATTTGTAAGGAGTTTATTTTATTTCTATAAAATAATTTCTCAAGTACTCATGCATCCAAAAATCTTATTACACCTATATTTTCCACGTGTTATAATGCTAATTACTCATACTATCATACAACAATGTTGTCAAAAATAATTACTGAGTGACCTATCATAAAATTGTGAAAACCAAAAATCAAAAATCAAAATCAAATTAAAAAAGACCACAAAACTAAACAAGATGTGTAGACATAGGCATATGATTTTGAATAGGAGAATGTGAAGAATGAGAAAAAAACATGTAATCAACTTGTACCTTAGGAAAAATGAGATGTTTCCAATAGACATTCATCTTATTCAAAGATTTGAGTTTGTCTAAAATCTATTGTCTTTCCCATTTACTTTGTTACTTTGTTCTGAATAGAAAGAATTTCGACATCAATAATAAATAATCAATAATGATAATAATAAGAGTAATACAATGTAATCAAAACACTTGGTGAAAAATAAGAAGGAATCTGAATGGAGCGAGAGCAGCGTTGGTTGGGTCTAATGGGGGGTGACGTGGGCCAGAAGGGTGGGGTTGGGGAGTCTTGCGACCGATCCCAGGTCATCCGTGTGGCGGTTTGCACGCCCAGTCAGATTCGGACACCTCAGCATCATGGAGCTGAGTTGGACAATACGTAGCATGCCCGACCCAACGCCACGAGAAGTCCAGCTCAAGGGCAGCCCAGCCCCCCCCCCCCCCCCCCCCTCCTGGTGAGACCGGGCATATCGGAGCCCTGTCCCGGCTCCTCCCGAGCCCGTGCCCGTTCCGTGTGTGTGTGTGTGTGTGTGTGTGTGAGAGAGAGAGAGAGAGAGAGAGAGAGCAAGTCCGTCTGTGTGCATGGCTGTGTGATTGAGTGTCTTGCTTCGTTCGTTCGTTCTTTCGTTCGTCCATCTGGTTGTCTGGCTCTCTCTCGAGCAGGCTCACAGAGTGTGAGTCTCTGCTGCTGCTGGTGCCTTGCTCTGTTGTTGCGTTGCTTTGGCTCGCTGGCCATGAAGCCCCACTTCGGCTCCTGTCTTTTAGGCTTTGTGTTTCTGTTGCATGAAGTCGGTCTTGTGGGTGTGCGCATTAAGTAAACGGGGTAGCGAGAGAGAGAGAGAGAGGGGTCAGAGAGCCAGGGAGAGAGAGCGAGAGAGTCAGAGAGGGGTCGCTAGGTGTTGGGAGGAGAACAAGAGGTTTTGTGGTTTGGTGGCTTAGTGAGTTATTATCGTCGCTCGCCCAGCGGGGGTGTCGATGGCAGAATTTTTTGCGGAGGTGGAAGCGGCAACAGGGGTGCGCATGCCCTGGAATGCGTGGCCCAACACCCAGATCGAAGCAGCCAAGTGCGCTGTGCCCTTTGCGGCCGTCGTGACGCCATTGCATCATGGAGGAGGCGCAGACAGCACTGCCCCACCGGTGAATGTGCTACCCTACCCTCCGCTTCGATGCAAAACATGTCGAGCTGTTTTGAATCCCTTTTGTCGTGTGGATTTTGACGCCAAGATCTGGATCTGCCCCTTCTGCTACCAACGCTGCCACTTCCCCTCACACTATGCCTCTATCTCGCTCAACAATCAGCCGGGCGAGCTCTACCCGCAATGTGCCAGCGTCGAGTACAAGATGGCCGGGGAGGCTGGATTGCCGCCCGTGTTCCTGTTCCTGCTGGACACATGCTTAATCGAGGAGGAGCTGGGCTACTTGAAGGCGTCTCTCTCGCAGGCGCTTACGCTGGTACCGGAGAATTCATTGGTAGGGCTCATTACGTTCGGGGCTCAGGTGCATGTGCACGAGCTAGGGTTTTCGGAGTGCCCCAAGTCGTACATATTTCGAGGCGCTAAGGATGTTACCAAGGAACAAATCCTTGAGCAGCTTGGTCTAACTAATCGTGCGGCAGGAGGGTTGCAACGGGGGGCACCTCCTCCGCCTGTGGGTGTGATTGCCGGAATAGGTGAAGGCATCTCGGCTTCGAGTGTGAACAGGTTTTTGCTCCCGGCATCTGACTGTGAATTCACGTTGAATACTCTGCTGGATGAGCTCCAAAAGGATGCGTGGCCTTTTCCGTCGGACCAAAGGGCTGCACGGTGCACGGGGACCGCGCTGACTGTGGCGACTGGACTTCTCGGTGCGTGTGTCCCAGGTACTGGGGCTCGAATCATGGCTTTTGTAGGAGGGCCGTGCACTGTGGGATCGGGAACCATTGTTTCCAAAGAACTTTCCGATCCCATTCGGTCGCACAAGGATATTGACAAGGACACTGTGCCATTTTACCATAAGGCTGTCAAATTTTACGAGGGATTAGCGAAGCAGCTGGTGACACAGGGGCACGTGCTGGATGTTTTCGCATCTGCTCTTGATCAAGTACGTCTCTTTCTTTGTTCCTTCAGCTTGATGGTCCTGAATTTTTCTTCTACGTGCTGTTCTATCGGCAATATTTTCGAAGTGTATGGTATTTGTCCTATCTTGATATTAATAAGTGGCGCTCAATTCAGGTTGGGGTAGCAGAGATGAAAGTGGCTATTGAGAAGACTGGCGGTTTAGTTGTCTTATCTGAAAGTTTTGGCCATCCTGTATTCAAGGACTCCTTGAAACGGGTGTTTGAAACCGGGGATCACGCACTTCAGTTGTCATTCAATGGCATTTTTGAGGTTAGTTGCTCTAAGGAGATCAAGGTCCAGGGGGTTATTGGTCCTTGTGCATCATTGGAGAAGAAGGGAACGTCTTGTTCGGACACTGCGATTGGTCAGGGGAACACCACAGCTTGGAAATTGAGCGGCTTGGATCGGAGTACAACGTTGGCTGTGTTTTATGATATCAATCCATCGTCACAATCTGGGCCCACTACAGCAATCGGTCAGCAATTTTTCCTTCAGTTTCTAACTTTTTATCAGCACTACGAAGGAGATATGCGGCTCCGTGCCACTACTATTACGAGGAAATGGGTTGAAGCGGGTACTCCAGGTGGAGTGGAAGAGCTAGTTGGAAGCTTCGATCAAGAAGCTGCTGCTGTGGTCATGGCTCGACTGGCTTCTCACAAAATGGAAACGGAAGATGGGTTCGATGCGACGCGGTGGCTTGACCGATCTCTCATTCGTTTAGCGTCGAAGTTCGGGGATTACAGAAAAGACGACGCTCATTCTTTCAACTTCGCTCCTAATATTGCGATATTTCCTCAGTTTATGTTTAATTTGCGACGGTCTCAATTTGTACAAGTCTTCAACAACAGCCCCGATGAAACGGCTTATTTTCGAATGGTTTTGCATCGAGAAACTGTAACAAACTCTTTAGTCATGATCCAACCATCTCTTCTATCCTACTCGTTCAATTCACCTCCAGAGCCTGCACTGCTGGATGTGGCATCCATTGCTGCTGACCGGATCCTCCTATTAGATGCATACTTCAGTGTAGTTGTTTTTCACGGGATGACAATAGCGCAATGGAGAAATGCAGGCTACCACAAGCACGAAGAACATACGGCATTTGCCCAGCTGCTCCAAGCGCCGCAAGATGATGCACAAGCTATCATAAAGGAGCGGTTCCCTGTACCAAGGTTAGTTGTATGTGACCAATATGGGTCGCAAGCTCGTTTCTTACTTGCGAAATTGAATCCTTCAGCTACATATAATTCGGCCAATGGACCTGCCCCTGGTGGCGACATTATTTTCACTGATGATGTTAGTTTGCAAGTGTTCATGGAGCACTTGAAAAGGCTGGCTGTGCAAAACTAGTACCTATACTACATTCTTTTTCCTCCATCATCTAGTTGTGCTGTGGTGGACTCTACTTGATCAATAAAATACGGCCCATGTACCCTATTATTTTAGGGGCCGCATCTGTGTCAGTTGCTCTACTCAATCGTGTCGCGTTGGTTACGAGATGGGAAGCAATGGGTAGCACTAGGGTCAAACCCTAAACCCACAACATCATGTCTATATGACACTCCATTCCATGAAGTTATGAGCTCTGTATCAGTACTGGACTCCCTTCTTGCCTACGCTTTCCACTTAGGCTTTTTATACTGGGTCGGCACGAATATGAATTCAATCTTCCTTCTGGACCTTTTACTATCTGATCAGTCAAAGGTACTGCGTGGACTTCGTCTCATCAGACCCGACTGCTGAGACCCTGATTGTTGCAGTGGTCTCAGTTGAAGTGAAGCTGTTGTGTTGGAAGTTATGACGCAAGTGGAAGTACCTTCTTAGTCGTGACTGGAGATGCTTATTTTCGCCCATTAAACTTAAGTTGTAGTTTGATTTTGGAGTCTATGCTTGGCCACAAGAGAGTTGAAGATGGAGTTGGAAGGAAGAGGGCATGGATTATCATTGACCCTTCTGTCAAGCATACAATTTTCTCAACAAGCCCTCTTTGAGACAATAACAAGCTCTCTCTACTACTAGTTATTTTCAACGACACTAAAATTGGAAAATTTAGGGTAGCAAATATATACGCAATGAGAGAGGTGGAGTGTGGAACATGATGTTTGTACGTTTATATTTTCGTTTTTTCCTTTTCTTTTTCTTATTAAATCAATTTTGGGTGAATTATGAAAGGAGATTGGAACATAATTGTATGCATGCAGCATAGATTCTTAAAATTTTATCAATTTTATTTTAGTCTTTATATAATCAAGAAGTAAAAAGAACCATCCAAAATATTTGGAAGAAAAATGGAAATGTACACTTTACAATTGAATTAAGGAAATAAAAGAAAGAAAGAAAAAAGAACATTAGATCTTATTGGTATATTTTATGAGAGAAACTTCGTTAATAAAAAAAGAAGAATCACTAAAAAGAAAAAAATCATAATAATCTTTTTTTATACTTGATTTGGATTTCTTGATATATATATGTGTAAATAGAATTTAGAAAAGACAATACTTCATATTTAATTAAGACCAAAGAAAAAAAAAAAAAAAAAAAAAAAAAGAAATTTAGGACTATAATTAAATAGACAACTAAAAAGGGCTTCTAATTAAAAGAATCTTTAAAGAAATATAATCAAAGGTAAGAAATCTAACTATAAAATAGTTGGAGTACAAAAAATAGAAAAATCTCAAGAGACACCTTAGAGAAAGCTAAAATGTAGTATGGCTTCTTAAAATTAAATCTAAGCTACGAAATATTACTAATATATGTGAAATATATACATATATATATATATATATATATATATATCAAAGAACAACTTATAATAAATGATTTATATAAGTTAATCAATAACATTGGCCATTGTAAAGCACAAGGATTATATCTTATTGAAATACAACTCTTTAAAACCTTTTAATCTATTGTGTCTATTGATTCAAAATATCCTTAAATAAAAAGGTTCTTCCTAAATTCATTGTCAAATGCCTCATTTCTATTTTGCTTGAACTAAAAGAAAAAGAACTATTTAACAATCATAAATTTTTGATAATAGATACTATATATGAGATTATTATAAAGATCTTTCAATTGAAAATTTAAATAGTTTTATTTTAAATAATAGACAAAGGCCAAAAAAAATAATATCTTAAATATATACTTTATAAAATAGTATTAGTCTATGAATTAATATAATATAAAAAATCTTCTAAGCAAAATCTTGTACTTCTAAAACTAAAATTCAACACATATTATAATATCTTTTGAAGTATGTATTTAAGGCTATAGAAGTACTTGGCTTTGATCTAGAATATATGTAGAATAATATCATTATTCTTTGATTGAACAAAATTATTGGTCAAAATTAATAAAAATTTTATTCTAATCTAAAAAGATGTTTAAGAATATTTATTTTATTTTATTGACAATATTTGTCTTTTAGAATCAAAATGTGGACATTATTGGAAATTACAATTTGGCTTTGCCCAATGCACAAGTTTGACGTTGTAAGCCTATCTTCTTTTGGTTGCTTTTAGATTTTTGCATGTTTAACATCAATAACTGCAAAATAGTTTTTTCAGCATAAATAGAGAGTTTGAATTTTAAACTAGATTAAGATCATTGTTGTGTGTAATATGAAAATACATAATTATACCTTGAGTAATGGTATTGATCTCTTCTTTGATAATGATAGAATTATTGTTGATGATTAAGGTGTTCATAGCAACTCTATCTCATCTACAACTCTAGCAATCATAGGTAATGTCTCTACTCAAAACATTGATAATATGGGCAAAAATCAAAATCCTAAATAGACAAACAAATGATATCTATTCTTGTTGGATCCACATTTATTTATTTGTTGTAAGAAAAATCAATACTTAAAATTTATTTTAATTTTATTTTAATTTTATTAATATTAATTATACAAGAAACAAGGCTATTAATTTACAACTTGGAAACAAATTTTGTTCAAATAAGTATTATCAATTAATCAAGGAATATTACTTAAAAGATATAAATTATGCTTGATATCTCTCTCTCTCTCTCTCTCTCTCTCTCTCTCTATCTATCTATCTATATATATATATATATATATATATACATATATGTATTTAATTTTTTAAAATTTAATCTTACAGTGCCAAACTTATAATTTAATTTAATTAAAAAATTTTATGGATATTAATAAAATCCAAATTTTTGTTCTAAATCAGAATAAAAATAAGCTTTTGTCTTTATATGCTGATGAAGAAATAATCTTGCATTATTACTAAGGCCAATGCTTGCATATTGAGATGGAACAAAGTTTTTATAAAAATCTTCACTCATTCCTTTATTCTTTAAATTAGCAATTTCAACAATGTAGAATCTTAAATAGAGCTATTTTTCTCCCAAATCTATCTATAAATTAGAAATCATAAGATTGCATGACTTAATTTAAATTAAAAATCTTATATAACTTATAAAATTTCTATTGACTAAGGTTGTAACTTAAGCAAGGTACATATTTACATACATACATATATATATATATATACACACACACACACACACACACATCTATATATATATATATATATATACACATACTAGCAAAAATCTATGTTATTGGGTACTGCAATCTTTGACATTGCCATCTATCCATTTCTTTGTTCATCCAAGTTCATCCATATTTCGCTAATGAGAAGACTTCTATATGTCTTTATCTTATAACTAAGTTGTTATCACCATCATCATCACCATCATTTGTATAATCTTAAAATTTATTTTATTCTTTATAATGGAATAGAATGAATATCTTAGAATTACAAATAAAATTTATTGTTTGATAAAAATATTATTTATATGCAAGTAAATAAACCAATATTGGAACTAGGGTATTTTATAATAATTCTAATTAATATTAATAATATAAAAATTGAATCTTTTAGATTCAAAAAATGCTTTTAACACTTTATTAATAATGTGGATGTTTAAAACTTTGTTGTTTAAATTTCAAACCTTTTAATTTTTTAAAAGTATAGAATCAAGAAAATTTAAGCTCCAAAACAAATAATAAAGTAGAAGCTTAATTAACATCAAATGATAATAAATGTATATACATTTGAAACAATATTTTAAACATAAAATGACATTTTTAAAACATATAGACATGTAAACAAATGCATCAAATGTAATCCTTCAAATAACCTTTCATTTTGTCACAAAAAACCTTTTATAGATAGAAAAAAATCAACTATTATTGTAGTTACTTGTATCAAGAATTTTGCTACTAAACTACAAATAATGGAATTAGAAAAATTAAAGACATATAATGTAAGAATCCTAAGATTTTTCAAGATGAGAAATCACAAAAAAATAAAAAACAGAAATATACTATTTAATATTATAATACTATTACAAAAAATATTTTAATTCAGCTAATACTCATCCTTATATAAATGTCAATTAAATCTATTATTTATAATTGTGTAGGGAAGTATAGTATTAGAGACAAGAAAACAACTATAATTTATGTTTTAATACCAATAAAAGTTGCACATTTGTAAGATGGTGAAGATTCACTTTATGAAAAAAATCACATTAAATTACATACATACATACATACATATGTAGTGATTAAAGGAACTTTTTTATTTTTATTTTTTCTTTTAAGATAACTTTCTTTAATAGAACTCAAGTGATCTTTCAAACATATTTTAGCAAGACTCTAAAATTTTCAACTATAATCTTAAGTGCAAAGCAATCTAGTGGTAAAGTTTGCAAATTTTTAGAACTTCTCTAGTTATCTTTTTTGCACGTCTGCAGAATCTGTGAAGTCTACTTTGCCAGATTGTGTCGGAAGGCACACTGGATACAAATTGCACATTGAGATCAGGTGTCATGTCACTGCTTTTGCAACACAGAAGCAGTGAAGCAGCAAACTCTTCAACAAGAGAGCCCAGCTTAGCATTGTGAACTAAATAGATTTGAGAGAAAGAGTACCTTTTACACGCACTATGTTCAAAATTATTGAAGATAATGTCAATGAGAACTAATTGTACCTGATCAATGAAAGACCTACGAGGAAACATGTCATAATCGCAAGGACACTGATTACCTGTATTTGGGGATCTTTGTGTTGGAAATGTATGGCTGTAAGCTTGTTACCACAACCTGAGTTGGTTCCGTTGAGGTTATGTCAACAAGTATATACATGTTAGAAAATAGGGAGTTGCTCAAAATGCAGAAACTGGATGATGTCCACAAAGGGCAGAGCAGTGCTGGAACCTCGTGAAAAGTTAACGGAAACTAGCAAATTGAAGTCCCAAAAAGCAGAGAAGTGAATGAGCCAGTGACAGTTGCAAGTCTTTGGCTTCTTCGCGAGTGATAATAATAACCACCATAAAATTACACCATTTGGGATAGCCAAGGGGAATTATGAAGCAAGGCGACGGTCGATGATTTGCAAATCTTGAAGCAGACGACAGTACACCCTGCAATATTTAATGATCTGCTTCAAGCTGCAAGGGCCAACAGTAACTTAGATCCATCATCCATCGTTCATCATTGAGCCATGACCTGAATGTGTACCTGATCACCTGCATCCACACGCCTTGCCTCCCACCTTCGCTTCCCAGCTTCTCCTCACACTCTGCTTTATGAAAATCCACTTTGTCCATGTCCCATCAGATAGTGTTCTGACTTCTTCTTCTTCTTGAAGACGGGACGGAATGTTGCACTAGCTCGACGAAACCTATCAATCTGCATGCACGACGTTTGAAGTTTAAGTTTGCTCATTGTCTGATAGATATCACAGTCTTGTCACTAAGATGTTGCTCTTTCCCGGGTCGCATTCTACCCAATTGTCTTTAGTAGCCCTATCATGCACATTACGTTAACTTCTTTCGCATCGCTCAATGTTTAGTGTACATTTGGGATAGCTGAAACATTCTTGCACTGTGTGGCCTCTCGATCTGTTTCTGCACTCATGTATACCTAGGGGCTCCTCACCTCCTACATGGTGTGACTTCATAAAGTTGTTTGAAGGGGGTATGGTCCTGTAGAGTTTTGTCTACACACACACAAGGCAGTGCCCATCAGTGCTTTACAGGCTCTGTTGAAAACATCGTGGCATCCAGAGGGGGGTCGGAAATCATGTCGACTTGCTCGTAGAAAGTAGCTTCGTTCTTTTTTCAGCAATATGAAGAAGTACGCTCGACTCAGGTCAACTTCGGTGACAGACCAATCTGAGCCATGCCGAAGCCCACACCCTGATCAATGCACAACTCTCTCCCTAGATGACGACCCTCCTTGCAAATGGAAGAGCAATAACATCGCCTCACCCTCAGGCAGCTCCAAACGCGTCGATGTCCATTGTGAGAATGTTGACGTTGCGTCTTCGTCTTCCTCAAGAGTGCATACGGAGACTCTTAAGAAGTTGAGCTCTCTCAAGGAGAGTAGTCACCTCGATGATCTGAATTTGAAGCCACCGCCAAGGGGTAGAAATGCGGCACAGTGTGGACCGGGTGAAGTCTATGGCCCCAAAGTTGAGAGTAACGAGTCCTTGCCTGGTAACTAGCCCTGCCCTTGCCATGTCCAATTGCTGGGATTTATTTTCATTAAATTCGTCTCTGAAAACTGACTAAAAATTTGTGCAGTATGGGGGTTCGCAGATAATTTGCAAAGGTCAGGATCAGATCTAAACAACAGGTGCACGAGCTTTAGTAGTGTTGGGGTTGGTGCAAAGAGGGCGATGGGGATTACCAGTATCTCCGAGTCGCCCTGCACTCTAGCGATGAATAATCGTAAGTTCACTCATCGAAGAAGCGCTTCTATGCACGATCATGTGGGTCAATCAGCAAGGCTAATCTCTGCTGCTATGAAGCCCACTGCCCAAAGACCGGCTGCAAAGTCAGGTTTAGGTTTTCTAGAAGAAGGTGAAGAAGCAGAAGCAGCAGCATGGTCGTCCTCGTATGGCCAGCCCAGAAATACTTATGACAATGCAGCGCCATCAGCTCGTCGATTTTGTGCCAGTTCTATTACCTCTACCAGACTCGCGCAGAACAACTTCTCCTCTCCGCTGCAGAAGAGTTGCCTGTGGGAAGAAGTCGAGGAGGATGATTTTAGTGCAGTTAGGGTTGCTAGAGCATCGGCAAAAGTCAGGGCAAGCGGTGTGCAGTCGATGCGGTACGATCGATTACAACCTGAGGTATGCATGGCGGGGGAACTGGGCAATTCCATGGACGAGATGTGCAGCCAGTCCGTGCGGGAGGGAGTGGCGCATGCGCAGGCCATTGCGGCTATGGCTAAAGCGTATGCGGAGAAGTATGGCCTGCCGCAGGCGGTGGTGGAGTGTGTGTCATGTGGGCGGGGGCTAGGTGTGATCGTTGAGGGGAATAGCCCAGGTAGCTACGACTCTTCGTTTTGCCGGTCGTGTCGCCCGCCCGTGCTTGCCAAATCCAACAGCAAAGGAGGGAAGGGTATGATGCACTACTGTCGCAAGATCCTTCTCCGCATGGGCAAAAAGCCCTCCCACAAATACACCGTGGTCTGAAATTAGTTTATTGGCCCGTTCCTGAACAATGTAGTTTCATGCCGGTTAGGATGAAGCTCCTATGCCACGCCGGAGAAGATCTGCAAGTTCATTTCAGAAGGTCACATTTGTAAAGCTGTGCTCTACTTAGTCGCTGATACTCTAGAATCGATCATGGGTTTTTGTTGTGGAATGAATCTTCACATAAGTTGATTAGATGTCAGTTCTATACATAATACGACGGTATGATTTCTTGGCGGTTGCAATTGACACGAAGAAAAAAGCTCAGTCGTTGTTAGTGCAATTCAAATGATCGTGTGTTTGAAGTTGCATTGACCTTCATTCCTTCTGGTCATCGGATCCAATGCCCCAACCGGTTTACTGCGAAGAGACTCCCCACATGTTCCTTTGTCTTCACATTTACGCCATTTACACAACCATCTTTGATCCACCACCTCTTCCGATGATGGGAATAACGGCACAACCTACAGTACCGGCACAACGGTAAGAATGCATGCTATACTCGGACATGGAAAATTGAATGCAAGCTGATCAATCACTTGTGTTGCACTCTATCATCGGCCACCACTGTACTACTTTCAAAGAACCGAAGCACACGACTGAGTTGCTGACAAGAATGTACTGGTTACTAGTCGGAACGTGTCCATTGGGTACCGCCCACGTAGGCGCAGCTGCTCATGGAAATTTGGAAATGGATTTTGCCGGGACCTGGAGACGCCTTCGGGTATAGGACGTTATCTGAATTTCGGCGAGACCGTAGTGACGAGGAGTGTTCATCACCACACTAACCTAACACCGTGACACTCGTCTGAACCAAGTTCCCTGAGTGCCGTGATTGTTTCTAGTGCGGTTCCTCTTGAAAGCTCTTCAAATATGATTCCATAGCATTCGTGTTTGTGTGTGTGAGCACGACGGTATGCAGCGAAGATGCTGTTGTTATCTTATCACATAGCGCACGCTGTACAGTTAAGCGTAAAGATGAAGACACAGGAGTATTGCGGCACCTTGCGATACTACAGGGGAGCATGCAGTAGTATTATTTGAGGCCTATTTTGTTCCAAGTGTCTCAAGTATGGTTCTCAGCGCAGTCACTCTTCTACCATGCTTCTGAAATCTATGCCGTTAATTCACAGCCTGTTCCGATTTGAGAGATGCTGAATCTTCCTTTCAACGTTTTTAGCCGTGGACCATCCGCGGAGCTTTACTTCTCCAGTTTAGCTCCGACGAGACATACGTTTGCGCATAGAAAGATAGTTTTCTCTCTTTCTAATCAAGAGAGTGGAGCGGCGAGTCCTTCATCAGGAATTGAAATTGGTCAATGTCCGTTAAGGGTTTTTGGAACTGATGCGGTGCATAAGCAACAGTGAGGGAAGTCGTCAGGGTTTATTTGTGCATGTGGCCAAGTAGTCCCCTCCGATTGAGTTGTAAGACACCATGGATGCTCTGCAATTCTACGAATCCAGCTCGGATTCGGATGTGGACGAAGAAACCGAACGGCGAGGTTTCTGCGTAAAGCGTTTCAAGCCTGCTGCTGAGGATAAGACTGAAAGCTCTTCTGCATTACCACTGTCACTGCCACCGCCTCCGCCTGAACTTTTCAGCTCCATTCCAGATGCAGGTACCTCTTTGATCTACTCTTCATTTAAATGGAAGAACCTCTCATGGATACTTGCGTTGTTTTAGTCGAATTAAACCCTAAAATCAGGTACATGTATCCAATTACTTGCTTACATTCTAACGTAACGTTGGCGAGTTAAACCCTAAATCTTAAGCTTAGAAGCCAAGTAAGCATCTGAATGACTCTTGATCACCACCGCATTTCAATGTGAAGATGCAAATGAGAGCTCGTAGATTTGAGTCATATAGCAAGAATAATCAAATTTACAATAGAGAGGTAATAATCCCTCATTGTCAACCTCTTACATGCTTCCAATTGACCTTTTGCTGTACCAGCGGGGACCAAGAAACGGACTCGAAGTGATCATGGGGGCCGAGTACGAGCTTTCCCGCACGTTGAGGGAAACTATGCACTCCACGTATACATTCCTGGTAATTGTGACTCTCTTTCAATGTGTATGGACTTCTTGAATTACCTAGCAGGTTGTGCAAGTCTGGCTGTCGATCTTGTATCTGTATTCTTGTTTCCCTATTTTTCTTCCCCTAATTTGGTTCTGAAATTATTCCATATCTCCGGTGGCAGTGGTATTGTCAGCTTCAATACGAACCAAGATTGCTCTTTATCTTCAAAAGGCTGTGTCCTTATTTCCAAGTCTTAAGTCTACGGAGGATGATGATTTGTCGGCCAATGTCGGATCAAATCAAGGTACCCTTATTTGCGGTCTACCTTCTAGACATGTACATTCGTATAACCTCGAGACCAGAGTCGAATGCTGCGTTCCTTTGACTTCTATCTTTTCTTGCATGGACAGCCAAGAGTTGTGTGGTAGTGTGATTCATAATCCTACTCCTCTAGGTGATTGGAAGTTTGTTATTTTATTTTATTTTATTTTATTTTTTAGTTTGGGGAAGTTTGATTCATGCCATTTGAATGTTTTCCAGGCATCAAGTTAGCAACTGAGTTCCATATTAGCCTTGGACGGACTGTTCCTATACGTATTCATCAGATAGACACAATGGTGCATCTGTTACGTCGAAAATTTGAAGGTCAGAAACGGTTCTTGGTCGAGTTCGGTACCTGGGAAGTCTTCGTCAATGATGATCGGACTCGGTCCTTTTTGTCACTTGAAGTTGTGGCAACTGGATATGCAGAGGTAGAACCATCTGAAATTCCAATTTCAGCATTACCGTTGCATATAACTGCCGATCCTGGGTAGGACTTAAATATATCACTTAATGAGGAATCACTGAGCACTGGCATTCTTGTAAATTTCGTTCTAGTGCTTCTTGGATTATCATTGAGACTGAAAATTTGGGACGAAATTGTTTCTTTGTTGGGGTTGTTCGGGGTTCAGATCAAGAAACAAGTGTCCTTGGTGGACCATGTTTATACACTGCACGGTTTACCAACTTTTTACCCCGTATGTTTTCTGTGTTGGGCTTATTGAATCGACATACATTCTATTTTTACTCAATTGTGGGGCATGTCCGAAACTCATTGCTAAAAATTGTGAGTGCAATGCACTGTAGAGAGTTGTTTTCACCTTGTCAATTTCTCATTCTATAATAAAGTATGCTCATGTTCAGAAGTATACTTGGTTTGTGCCAGAATCCTCGGCCACACATCTCTCTGGCGTGGGCGCTGGGTGACGTCAAAGACGCCCTTGCGACCGTAGCACAAGAACTGAATACAATGGCGTGCTTTAGAGAAGAAAAGTCAGCCTGTTTCTTCACTTCCTTAGCCACTAAGGTTGAGTGTAGAATAGGACAGAAGCTACATCCAATCTGGACAACTAAGGACAAGAAGAGTATGCTTGAGCTTTCGGAGACCGTCAACTAGTTCATTTATTGCAGAGATTGCATTGTAAATCAGTCAAATATAATTCCGAGGTTTTTCTACACATGATGGCTCATCGTGGCAAGCTCATGTTCAAGTCAGCATTCTACAATTCAGCTCGATTCGATTGCAGTAACTGTGTTTCATGCTAGCATTGTTAAGCAGTTGAATAAAGCTGAATTGTATTGAGCTGAATGTTTTATGCTAGGATTGTGAGAAGCAGTGCAGCTGTGTACACTAGCAAAGAGGTAATTCTAGTCGTTGCCGTGTGGGAGCATGATAATCCTAAAACCTCATCCGTCTTTTACGATGCTTCCTGCAATTAAGTCCTGCGGTAGCCTGTAGAGAACTTACACGGGTCTGCCGGGGCCTCTGAGTTCTCTTGAAACTAGCAAAGCTGGCACCTTAGCGTTGCTTGAGATACACCATGGTGTTTCCCAGCATCGTCGTCACATTCGCTGGATTGGCTTTAAAGGATATTTCACAATGCCTAATGAACGAACGTTGATGAGGAAAGGATAGTTCAACAGTGGCCCAAAGCAGATTCAGGGTGGTGAAGGAGTGGGAAGGTCAAGAGTGGAGGGAGGTTCTCAACGCTTACGAAACATTAAGTGCCAAGGGCGTGATCCACCAAACAGAAGCATCCTCGCCTATTCCGGATCAACACTGTCACTTGCGTCACTTCCTTATGGTGCATCAATCACAAGTTCTTTTCGTCAACCTCATCGCTGGTTGTTCGGGCGGAGGCATTCCCACTGCAATCTGACTCGCCAAGCTTGGTCATTCATTGGTCTTTTCTATTCAGTGTTCTAGCTTTACAGTCATGATCAACATAGTAACGTTGTACACCACCGTTGCTACTGTGTGCCGTTTAATCATTACCTACGTCCTCTTTTGTTGCCATAGGTGGAAACTTCTGTTGCCGTCAGTAGAGTTAGCTACGTCAAAAGAAGATCTTACTGTGACCCCAATTTGCAGTGTCTGCTCAGGCAGATCCCTGAGTATAGAATCTCCAGCAGTGAGTGTAATAACACCAGCAGCATACATTCCCGTGTATGAAAAGCTGTGGAGAGAAATTGGCTGGTACATTTCAGAAGCCACTATCACCCTCCTTGGAGACATGATGAACTACTACTACCTGTGAGCGGGAGTTGCCTTCAGTGCCTGGCTTTCATGTGTTCAGACACTAAAAAGCTGTAATTGAGAACTCTAAGATGTTCAACAGCTTAGCGTCCAGTGTCGTAAAGCAACCTTCAATGTTCACTACAAGACAAGTCTCGTGTTGAGTGAAAACGTTGAAACCACAAACCCACCGCGTTGAAACAGCATCCACCTCTGTGATTGTAATGTTGCAAGACATGCTCATGTGAGCTTCTTTTACAACCAGTATGTGGATCAAAGAAGGGTGAAGGGAATGCATGGAAGAGGTTTTCTAAGGAGTTTGAAAAGTGGACATGTGGTTGCAAAATTTCTTGATTTTGATGGAGTTACATTCTGGTCTTGCTCCCCTCCGCGGTTACTGTTCGTTTCGTGCTTTTTGAAGTATGTTTAACACTTGGTTATATACAGTTGATGTAATTGCTTCATCATTGTCTTGTTTGTGATGAATTCATACGATTAGTGAAATCCTCAAAGAAGTGAGGAATGTCGTCCATCACACCAATACAAACACATTTTAATTTGTTCACTGCAATAACTTCAAAAAATCATATGTGTACATTGAACATAAATACTTAAAATGATTTACTTGAAATTTCAGCATAATTCATGTAGATAACGATGTTATAATCATGTTACTATTTTTATTTTTATTATTAATAGAAATATAACAAACATGTAGAGAATTTTGTTTTGACAGACATTAGGATGAAATTTTTAAAAGAAACCACATGTATCAATTTGGACATTTTCAGTTACACTATCAGTGATAGTTTCAAGTAAATCACTCTCTGATGTCCCAATTACGACATCAAAAAATCAAACACTTCACAAACAATCAATAAATACGCAAATCCAATAACATAACATTTGGCCTCGTTTGAAACACAAACTTCAAATCACAATTTACAAAAAGCAATTAGAAAGTCTATCAACTGAAATCGAAACTATTTGAAACATTAGAACAAAACTAAGATGGACCTCGTACCGCTCCTTTTCGCCAAGCAAACTCCAACTATTTAGCTGTCTTTCTAACTTTCCAGTAATTTTCAAATATAAAATTTTTCCAACACCAAAATCAAACGGAATGGAAGGTTCTCAAGAACGCTGGGCAAGATAAAGATTTTGATAACCAACGAACCTTGAAGGATTGAATAAGAAATTTACAACACAGAGAGTCGCTGTCGTGCATAGAGCCTTCACAAAGTACACTATCCTTTTAAGATACAAATGCTGAGCCAGAAAAGCTACCAACCCCTGAAAAACTCAAAGCAGTAAAATACCAAACCTGGCGTTGCTGATTCCAATTCCCATGGTAAATTAGATCTAAATTAGGTGGCCACTATATAAACAAGCCGGATGGTCTACATTACAGTTACCCTGCCATGAAGGACTTGTCGTAACCTAGTCGTTGTTGACTTCATCCCATCTGATAGGGTTCGCAACGCACGTCGGGGACCAATGGTAAATTGCTTACCCGTTTACTGCAACTTCCTGCATCATTGCCATCCCTTGCACTGTTGCATCACCGCGAATACAGAGTCAATATCAAGCAAACCAACATCCTGGAAGAGGCGTTTTCAGCACCACCATATGTACCTCCTTTCACTCCCCTTCGTTTTAGACTTCACACAAAACTCCCCGTCCACTGCCACTACTCCCACAACCTTATCTCAACCCACAACCAACTAAGCACACAAACCTTCAAAATACTGCCCTCAAATGGTACCGTCACGTACATTTCTTTTGAGGCCTGATTGCTGCTGCAGCAGCAACCTCCGCAGCAGCTTCCAGAGCCTCCGCTTCGGCTTCCGCAGCTTCGGCTTCTCTGGCAGCAGCTTCAGCAGCGGCTGCAGCGGCCTCTGCTTCGGCCACAGCCACGGCAGCTGCTCGAGCAGCCTCCTCAGCGGTCTTTGCCCTGGCCCTTGCAAGGTGCTCAATGTCCGTTTTGGGCTTTTTATACGGCTGACTCTCGGGCCTTAACTTCTTTGAGCTATCTCTAGGGTCCCACGAATCTCTGGGAAGCCGTGAAGGATGTCGCTTGTTGCTCTCCTCGATCTGAACATCCTGCCGTCTCAACCGAGACTCCTTCTGTACACGGCCATCATTGACTACGATGGTATTCTCCCTTTCCCTGTATTCGGGCTCCTCCACAACCGGTGCTGGACTTTCGTTTCCTTCATTCATCTTATAATTCTGCCGTACCTGTTCACACAAATAAAACATAAGAGCAACATCTACGAAAAGACTCAAGGTACATAGGCTCAAAATCCATGCTCTTCACTCCCTCTCCTCTGAAAATAGATAAATCCTGTTACAAATAATTAAATTCAAAATTTCAAAATAATTTGTATATAAATAAATACAAAGACCCCAAATGGGAGCATAAAGTTCAACCAGTCATGGAGGGTGCCGCATTTCAAATCCGTAAGTCACCACAAATCACACAGATATATTAACCCTCCACAGAAGCCCCCAATTATGCTTCTGTAAACACTCTTACCGTCTCCCACAACCTCCACTCTCTTCACTCCCACACTGTTTCCATGTAACAACCATAAAAGTAAAAAAAAAAAAAAAAAAAAAAAGAAAAAAAACACTCCCAAATGTGCATTCGCACTTTCATGCTTCCAATAATATCTCACCTTTACTAACTTCCCTGCTAGAGCTAGCTCCTTCAGTTTCGTTGTTAGCAGCCTCCGAAAGTTTGAAGGTACTGCATGCCGCTCCTGGATCCTTCCAACACTTCATAAATCAGCGTTTCGTCACATCTCTAAATGTCAACAAACTCACATCCTAACACAATCAAACTCCTAATCAACACCTGCTCCCCTCACTCAACAATCATCACCACCCCATTACCCCCAACTTCCTCTCAATTGCCTCTACCACCTCCAAACTTACACTCCAACTTGTCACCGGCTTCAATTCAGCCAATACTTCTAAAACCCTCTCCCCATCCTGTCGTTGGTAACGACCCTTCACCCCGTGTCTCATTTTCCCCTCCATCAGGTTCAAAACATCCCGGGGGCCACCACACCCACAAAAAAGGCTACGTCCCCCACAATTTCAATACGTTGGACGAGGAGCCTCATACCAAAACAAAGAGGCATTTCATTTTGCCCTCATCCCCACATATCATGTCACCATCAACCATAACCTCACTCACCTCCACACTTCTCACTCATCACATCTCTCACAGTATGCCACAAAACATTCAATACACTACCCTCTCTCCTACAAATTTCAGCGTCGATCAAAGCTTCACCCACGTGTAAAAGTTCATCCACTTTGCTTGCAAACATACTATTCCAACAACACATAACAACACCCTTCAAAGCCTTGTATGCTCAACGCACCTCGTCGATTCCGGCTACACGAGCCAACTCCCACATGTTGAGGATACAACACATCCTCGAGACCAAAATATAAACACAAAAAAAAAGAGCGTACACACAACACTAACATGCAGTCCACGACCAATACTCCCACATTACCTCGATGTAGCTTGCAATGGAGGCGTTGCTGGATCCATATGTTTCTTTCAGCCCCATCACAGCTTCAAAGACCATATCGTCATATCTGCCATGGACGACCATATGTTTTACAGACGTCACTGATATGTCATATTCTACGTCTTTCGACCTGTCATATGTAACAAACTTAACTCATCGGACCAAAAACATTGACAACCCAAATATTACCTGGAACCAAGTGACTTGCGATCCCCAGATGTATCCGCGCTCTCCCTTTTCAGAGCTTGTGCATCATCTATTGGCGGTAAAACAGCCAAAGGAAGCACCGATACTGCATCCTCCATCAAGGTCATCATCCCTGGCCCACCAGTGATGGCCAAGGGCTTCCTTGCTGAACCAAGCCCATTGGCACTTACACTCATGTTCCGCCATTTATCCTGTCATGAGGCAACCACCAGATGATTATCAACAACCTCTCTAACCCAAGACTTAACGTGCACCCAGTACTTCAAGTGCTGTGAGGGGACTTGTAACCTGGTTTACACCGCAAATTAAGTTGCGGTACCTATACGGGTATGGGTGCAGATGAGAGTGTTAGGGTGCCTTTGTAATCGCTCGAACAGAAGACCATGTAACAAAACTACCTAATGCTTGCTAAATAAACCGCGCAGTACCTTCCTGTGTCCGTAATCTTAGAGCCACAGTATTCAGTTCAGATATTAAAATACGTTTTTCATTTTCAGAGGCGGGACAGACAGATGAAATGGTAGAAGCAAGTACACCAACTGGAACTTTGACTTATAAGAACAGTCCCAACTCCGGCTGAACACATTAGGGTGGGCAATCCGCACGGACAAGCGTTTAAAAACATTATTAATTTGATCTCAGCAACAAATTAACAACCACGTTTCGCTACTCTTTAAACGGTTGTGCTTCCAAAACGCTTTAAGCAAGAGATGAGAAAGATCCCAAAGCATACTCAAGACTTGAGTCAAACAGGTCGGATAATCGACCTAGATTGAGGTTCGTGTAGCTATTAAGATGCGAAGTGGTGTGATCAGAAACATATCCGCATCAACCTAAGTCCCACTATAACCGGGAAAAGAGGACTCATTACCTAGCATAAAAGTTATCGAGACTGACTCTATATGCTTAGGAGCATAAACTACGGGGCAGAGGCATAAGAGTGGGAAGTGCACCAATTCGTAAGGAATTAAGCTGACAACGTTAACGGTCCAAGGAAATCTTTCGATCGTTGTGAAGTCGCTACAACGAACGAAGAAGGGAGGGGAAGTGAAGGGAAAAGGTAAGGTACCTTAAGGTCGACGTTGGAACGAGAGGTGAGACAAGGGCCGAACTTAGAGTCCTTTTGAATCGCTCTCCATTTCCCAGGTCCATATTTCTCGACACCAGCGCGGAGAGCAGCCTCTTCCTCCGCAGTCCACTTTTGTTTAGGAGCTCCCATGACTGGACTATAACGACGAAACCCTAGGGGAAAAAAGTTAGCAATCAATCATGAGACTGGATAGATGAGGGGAAGACAGACGCAGAGGGAGGCAGAGGAAGAAACCCTAATGCAGAGAAAAAGTGAAATAACCAAAGAGAAAGACAGGGGACAAAGAGGAATCGATAAGCGCGGGCGGCAACTAGCCTAAGGTGCGGGGAGTATGGTCATCGAGACGCTCTCGCGCAGATAACACGGCTCCGAGGGTGTGGGGGCGATATGAGGTCACTCATCAAGAGTAGTGATCTAATCAGCGGTCGTAGTCGTGTCACAACCAAGCTACGTTATAGAAACACCCGCCATGATAACTCTCCCTCGGAAAACAATGGTCAACGCATTCCCGCACTCTCTTTCCTTGCGCGCTCGCTCACTGACTGCCTCTCTTTCTCTCTCGTGCGCAGTCTGTGCTGCTGCCTGATGCCTCGTCGCTCGTGGCTCGTCTCCCTCGAAGAAGGATGATGTTTCTTCGAAGCTCCGCGGGCCTCAGCCTTTACGCACTTGCCACTACAGTAATTTAATTCCCTTTGTGTTCGAGGGCTGCCCCACTTCGTCTCCGATCTCCTTTGTCATCTTGAACTCGCACCCACTTCAGCCTGGACCCGCCATCCATCCCGTCGCTTCACGACACCTATCCCGAACCGCAACTCGGACCCACTGCTGACCCAGACCTAGACCCTGACCCACACCGAGGGCAATCCCCTATGCCTTCCTAGCACTTGACACTTGATCATGCATTATTATGTTTCTTTTTTTGTCATTTTGTTAAAATGATTGATTCACCATACCTCGAGTAGAGACTATGTCACATGGTCAATTGTGTGTGTCGTAACGAGGCGTTTGTGTAAATGGTGAGATCATTCTGTGTGTGTGTGCATGGACTTTCCAAAGTGTGTGTGATGGGGACTAAAATTAATAGTATCCCGCATACTGTTTGATTTTGTTTACAGTGCTTTGTGTGTCAAACCATCGTGTGAAATATCTTTCGATGCGTAGTTGGTGTTCTCGGAATACTTTTCCCGTTCTTGAACATGAAATCCTTACGTCTCTCAGGTCATGACTGTAATATCTTACACTTGGTGAAAGATCTTACCATACAAAAAGAGAATTGTAAGTATACCATTATATCAAGAATTTCCTTGTTCCATCTTGATTGAACATTCAGGCTAGATAAATTAAATTACTACAGAGGGAAGAAAAATTAAAAATAAAAATACATCCACCACCTAGAACAAAGATGTATTATATGCAACAAAACAAAGCGGGGAACACATAACAGTAAAGAATTTTTCAACAAGGATATTAGAAAATGGTTGCTCTTCACCTTTAAGAGGTCAAAACATCATCAAACACCCGAAACTCTGGGAAATCTAGGTTTACAAAATAAAAAATAAAAACTAGCATAACAGTGAAACTAGACAGACCTTGTTCCAACTACACAACAAAATACACCCTGAGTTGTAATCCATACCAAAAGGTACAAAAAATATAATTTAATTCAGATACCAAAATTCATATGGAAATTAAATTTGACAACATCTCAGGTATATGCTTCGTTTACGAATCCCAATGCCAGGCTCCCGATGTGAAGTCACCATGAACACCTAGAAATGAAACAATTCGATTCCAGATCCTACAGCTAAACTCAAGTTTGTCCCGAATACACAAAATATCTGTAGACTAAAAAGGAAAATAAATAAACCATCTATATTTAGCAAGACATAACGGAATACCACGTTGCAATCAAAAACACGTAGAGCTCCTCGGTACAACACCCACCAAGGGGCACACCTCAAGTATGTCATACAGCCTCAAAGAGGTCCTCACAACCTCCTCATCGTTTTCCATTTCGACCTACCAAAAATATTAAAACTTTCTCTTCCAAAAAACAACCACCAATCTCAGCACACTGCGCATTGAACAACAATTGTATAGACAGACACTGCAACTGTCCCTCAAACACCAACTCTTAGTAAGATGTGTGAAACAGCGTTTGCAGCTTCAAAAAATGTAGCAACAATACAATCAACACTAGCTACATACTCTACACGATTTTTGCCTTCCCGATGCAGGAGATGATTCTTCTTTACACAGAACTACCACCTGAGCACCTTCAATACTAAATTTTCAAGTCATGAGACATTGCTGATGGTATACAATGGGTAGCAAGGATCTCAGGGGTGGCAGCCTTGGCTGCCTGGGTCTCCAGAACCAGAACCTGCAAATACCCATGAGTACAATACTTTTTCTTAGGCATCCTCTTCGCTCGAAGAATAATTTATCAAACTGGTTCAAATTGACGCCAAACGCAATCCTCATATAAGGGCTACCAAACAAAAAAAACGGACCGCTCATCCTCATACCCTTCGCTTTAGGTTTACCACTCTAAACCCACTACGCCAAAGCCAAGGTACACTTCACTTCCATCACAACACCTCCAAATTACAACGACTACACAGATTCGCATTTTGGACACACACCTGCTGGTAATCAAGATCGAACCACAAAAATGGGTCTGTGCACTTCTCCACCAAAGTTGCCAGATGCTTCAGATTTCTTACAGGAATGCCATTAAACCAAACAACCTGCCATCCATTACCAGACAACAGTAACACAAACCATCAAAACAGATTTCCTTCCCAACTACAACAAAAATTCTAGCAACATCCGCACGTAATTCATGCGCCGGCTTACATTGGCACCCATTCACGCCTCCCGACCAACACAGAAACTCCTTCTGAACCCTTGTGGAACGGTCACCCACCTGCGTGTTCACAATATCTTCATAACCTATGTTGATATCCGCCACCAGCACCTGACACCCGCATCAACGCCGACAAGTTCGTCAGTGGACGACATTGATTTGTATTTTTGGTTCGAATCCAAATCACATATTTTCAAATGTTGTATAATGTACTCAAACTGACAATAAACAACATATGAAAAACAGAGCACCCCATGATGGAGGGCGTCCAAAACCCTTCCGCAAAGAACATTCGCATACTTCAGGTAAATTCAAAACATCGAAAATGCACCGGGACGGAGTATAAGCACCTGGGACACGACGACGAGCTGCTCATCTTCAGACTGAGACATCGAATGTAGCAGCTTATCCAGCAGCTTCACTGGAGCGTCATAATCGTAGTCCTTCCCATACTGCCACATCCCCCGACAACAACCAGTTATCAATCATCCTCATCGTGAACCCCGCAGGAGCGGAAGGGGACGGGCTTTACAACCAAAAAGGCTGAGAATCGAAACACAAGAAGAGAACAATCGACCTGAACTAACCCAGTTCAAATTTCACATTCAGAAGATTAAATCCACCCCCAAATTCAACTCCACGTCCTCCGATCAACAAACACTTTTTCTGATGCCCACCTACAAAATACCACCGTGAGTGAGTCTCTAGCCACTTTAACCATCACGCCCTGTTCATCCTCCACATCCCACCATATCATATTCCACTGCACACGAACCTCTGAGCGAAGATAAGGTACGGAGATGGCCGCAAACACGATGCCTGCCAGTATGTAGTACGACGGTGGCTTCCCCTTGATGTACCAGCCGTTTGTGGTTCACCAGATCGATATCAAACTCCTTCGACTTCCCATCCCTCAAAATCTTCACCTTGGCACACTCGCCGCTATATTTCTTCGATACCAAATAACTGAACCCGATTCGTTCACCGTGCCTGAAGGGAACTTCATTTCCATGCACACACACATTCACATCTACATCAGCACTTGCCCGCCCACCATCCGCAGTAGCCGGAATCACACGTTACACGTACAAACATCGTGTCCACCACCGCCCACCGAGTTTGGGACGACTTCGTCAAGTTTGGCAAGGGATCCGTACCGGTGCCGTCGTTTGCAATATCTATGCCATCGAAACTCATCAGGATGTCTGAAGCTCGCAACTGTGCGAATGCAGGTGCAGTGGGCTCCACGCGTCGTATGCGAACACCATTCTTGGTGCTCTTCATTCCCAGCGCCTTCCGAAGATCAGGGTTTTCCATTTTTTGCCATTCGATACCCAAAATCGGAAACCCTGCAATGTTCGCATCACATACACCGCATGATTATCCACCCAGATCGTGTACTGGCTCGAAGTAAGCACCACAGGCTACTACAGCCTCGCCATGAAACCCAAGAACCAGGATGCAATAATGCAGACATATAACAACCGAGCACGACGACCCTGCCTTCACATGTGCAAATCACATAATTGCATTCCCTCTACCACGCGCAACGCGTAAACGCCACCTTATGTCCTACTACCTGTGTAGTCGTTGTTGCGGACGTAATCCGTAATAAAGTGATCAATGACCGGGGTGGGAACAACGTATCCGATGTTCTCAGCATCCTCGTGCTTCAGCGACTGAAAAGCGATTCCCACGCATTCACCTCTGTCGTTGAAAGCAGGGCCTCCAGAATTCCCACCATTTATAGCAGCATCAATCTGCATTCCCACCAAGAAAGCAAGTAAATCCAGCAACTCCCCACAGGCTCCCCAAAACAAGTCCCACAACCCCAAAACCAAAGAAACCCGTGCAACAGCTGTGCGCTGAGAGAAAAGGTGAAGTGTGAAACTGAACATATACTTACCTCTCAAAAACTATCAAAAAAAAAATAAACAAACAAACAAACAAACAAACAAACCCAAATCAACACAAAAAGGCACTAAAGTCATCTCGACATCATTCCTGCCCTCATTGCTCCCAGCGCAGTCAATCTCCCAGTCCTCTGACCTACCACTGCCTCCAACCAACCACGTACACTGACCACGGGCTACATCTGGACCCTGTCAAGTCGGCACGACTTGATGATGCGATGGATTTTTGCACCTCAGCATGTTCGCGAAATGTCGAGGCACACCAAATGTCTCGTGCATGCTTCGGAGTCGCTACGCACAGGGAGTTGCGTGCTATACATCCTGCCCCGAATCCGACAGGGGCTAAGCTGTCTACTCAAACTAGTACGTCCACAAACGCCCGCATCTTTTTCTAAACATACTCAAGAGCGGAGACTGCCCTTCTTGACTTCGCATCCATACTTAATGGACACTCGACTCCACCTAGCCGTTCGTACTTCGGGAAGTGTAACACCACTGTTATTCGGACCAGGCCACACTCTCATGCTTAAATGTACGTGCCGGACATTCATCGATGACACCACATAGTTTCCAAATTGTGCACATGCCTGTAGCACCGCGCTCCTCACCTGCACGCCCAGCAACTCTGTTGCGCCATGCACATATGACGTGACTTCGATGCGCGACACCACGCCGCTTGTCAACAAGATAGTGTCACCGCCAATGGGATACCCCACCACCGTCACCCCGTCTTGCAGACGAGGCAAAGACCCAAAGTTCACCGGCGTCACATCCTCCCAAAACTCGTCGTTGCTGACGGTCAGCATAGCTGTGCACGCAAACGCCAATACAAATCATCAGCATCTCATCCCCGCCCTCCACACATCCATCACCTCCATGTTATCCTACAACCTCACACTCCAACATTCCGACGACCTCTTCGCTTCACACCCGCACAACCATCATCCGGCAATGACGCCAATATATTCCGCCCCCCACACCCAACACTACGGCGACACAACGTGAGTCCCGTGCATTCTGCACCCACCCACGTCCAAATCTCCGCAAATCACCAACACCCCGTCTCTGCAATCTACTCAACGTACACGCAAGTCCTAAACAGTGCGCCGCAAATCACACCACGCTCCCGTCACACTCAGCTCGCACTGCGCAGACCGCATGACCGCCTGCACATCCTCGTACCGTACTCGGCCCCTCGCATACGCTCATGCACTGGGCAGCAACTGACCTATGTCGCATTCGGTTCCAAATAGTGATTGGCACATGGGATCAAGTTCAACCTATTAAATATTTTGTGAATGTACTATAAAAACAAACAAGACCAAACAAAAGTATTACACCAAAGGATGTTGAGTATTAGCTTTTCAGACACTTCTCTTGCTGATGAAGTTGTCACCATGCTCAATGCAGGAAGTTGCAAATGGAACAAATTCACATCAATAGAACATCATTCAAACATCAAAAATCTTTGTCAACGAAGTTGAATTGTAAGCCCTGCTTATCGAAGAGCTTGGAAGATATAGAGGACCAAAGTGTCAATGTGATACTTCAAGTCAAGTTCAATTGGATTGGATGAAAAAATTGTTCAAGAAAGAGAAACAAGTCCAATGTAAGATACATGAGACTTCGTGAGACCTTTCAACTATACAGTTGACCTAAAGATGAACACAACTCACTGATATCCTCAATAATTTGGATCGTAGACAAAGCAAGGACATTCTCGAACCACTAATACTGGTTCATGGAAAAAAGAACTTACTAATGCAATGCTGTCACTAAGAACTAACATCGCAGCAACAGATTACAATATCAGGCTATACATTACAGAAGCATTGGTCGCCGGAGACGTTTATTGCTGTGTTCACGTTGTGAGTATTACAGCATGTGATCTGGGCAAAAAAAACACCTTTTTCCACAACATGAAAACAGAAAATAATGCAATGATCTCGGCCTTGGATATATTCTGCACATCAGTCTCCTTCCGATACCAGCATGTGCAAATGGAAAGTGCCATCGCAGAAGACACATGAAATGAACACTGCATTAACAATAAAAGCCATAATGTTCTCTACATTTTTAAGTTACCAGACTGGGATAAAATCCCATATGAATCTACAATTGTTGAAGGAAAGGGCTGAGTTTGTCCCAAAAAAGCATAAGCACGGCAATACCTGCAGAAGACTACAGAAGCACAAGCCCCATCTCGGTGGGTTTCAGTGGTGCTCGCAGGCGGTAGTTATAAAGATAGTAATGAAGTTGACCATCACCAGGCCCAAATTTCAACTCCTTCAGGAAGCTTTCGTTTTGCATGACATCTAGTGCGTTGAACACGTCATAACCCCTTTGCTTGGCTATAACAAGGGCGTCATTCATGAGTTGCAGGAGCGGCATTGAAGTGGCTACATTGTAGTACGAATATGCAGCTTTCAACAACGAATAATTCTTATTTCCAATAATAGTAGACGGCAGTGTATAGAAACTAGCAAAGTCAGTAATTTCGTGCGTCTCTGAATTCTCCACAACAAAGCTGTTAATAACGTTGTCGATGGGAAGGAGCAGGTACTCGACATCGTCCTCAGAGAAATGTGGAGCGACCTGGAACTGCGCGAGGTAGGTTTGCAAAAGTTTAGTCACTGCCACAACATCCCTTCTCTCCATGGGTCGAAATCCTGGTGTAGCTGGCTCCTCAGGTAATCGATAGAGCTTGATTGTCCGACTCATCGTCATGCGAGGTGCCAATCTCGAGAATCCAACGTCAATCAATTTTTTAGGGTTCAAAGGCCTGTGCCAGTACTGACAAGTGGCAATAGGTGTAGGAAGGACCACACCCGCCGTGTATGCAGCCTGCCACATATCCTCCAAATGAACCCTCCTCGTAACCTCTTTAATTAATACAGGGGCAAGCCGTTTTGACCTAAGCTTCTTGTGCACACATAAAAAGTTGATTTCCGCCATCGGGACAACCGTATCATGTGTACGGATCTTTGCAGGGATTCCCGTAATGAAGGCCACAAGTTTCTTTGAAGTTTTAGCACGAACGCCAATATGCCAACTCGGAAAGTAACCTGGGAGAGTAAGCGCCCATCGCAAAAATGAAACCGAGTAATCAAACCTAAACATGTTGTCATCGTCTTCCACATAGTTATTAGTCAATAGAGTGTAAACTTCTTTCATAGTGTGCTCGTCGGCAAGATCGCACGTGGACCATTCGTATGTGCTGGGCAAGTTATACGGCTCTTGACGTACCTCCGACACAGGTTGCGCAGGTTCAATCGGACCCTCGCCCGCATCATCCTGATATTTGCCTACAGGCTGGGTCTCCCAAAACAGATGCCGCTTCTCGTTCTCCACTGCCGTACCTTTCTGGAACTTCCTAGTCACCGCATCCAGAGTGGCAGGACGCCCCATCGCCATGAGGCTGCCATCCTTAGCCGGACTCGAAGATTCTTGGGAGGGTACTCCGTTCGCAGCCTTATTGCCGGAACCCACCATACTCGATCAGCCGCGATCCGTGATCCGTAATCTTGACCAGCTCTTACAAGCGATACTACTCCCGTTACTGAGAATGGGACGGAGCTACTGGCAGGGCATCAAAACATGGTTTAAGCAGAAGAAAAGCCCAACAATCAATGCAAATCCCAAACATTGAAACAGGATAGCAGAGAACAAAACGATATGACCGAATCCAAGGAGATGGGATGACACAAACGAGGGGGGATTAGGGTTGCGGAAGGAACAGGAAGGAATTCAAGGATCATACGAGACGTGTCACTTACGCACGGTACTGGCGGTGGGAAAGTGGAAGAGGAGGACAAAGATGCAGAGGACATGCAGAAAAAGCGTAAGTGAAGGAGAAGCAGAAGACAACGACGACGACCGACAACTCTCCAGAAACGAAAAGCTCACACAGACAAACACATCAGAAGTAGTAGCAGCAGCGGTGGCGAGGATCATATGTAAGGCATACAATCCAGCTAGGAAAACGGGGTGGGTGAGGGCGGAAGAGGAGGATTGGCTCGATCCCTCACGACCGGGCAACAACGACGACGACGAGGACGACGACACTGTCTTTCCTCTTCCCCATTCTCCTCTTCCCTGAACTCCATCGCTTCGCTGAAGGAGCAGCTGGACGGATGTATCCCAGTCGAGGCCCTTCATCCTCATCCACGTCCTCATCCACGTCCTCATCCACGTCCTCATCCACGTCCTCATCCACGTCCTCATCCACGTCCTCGTCCACGTCCTCATTTGTAGACTGCTCCACTTGCCATTGACTTTCAAATATTGCAGTCAATTTTATGCTTTTGAAAATTTCATGTAGGAATGAATGGATGCTCCTTTGCAATTGGGAATATGTCCTGGTATGAGCCATGTCAATGGTCCATTGACTGTGTGATGTTAAAAGGTTTCGGAGCTAAATCAGGTGCTAATTTTCAATGATTAGGATCTGGCATATGGGGTGAGAATAGATGGTCATTTAATACTTTAGATGATAGTTTCAGTACACTCACCTCTCATAGTTTCTAAAATTTACTCTTAGTTTTTTTTTTATTATTATTATTCTTTGAAAAGGTTAATCTATTAAAATGTCTAAAACTTACAATTTCTTATCATAATTTGTGTTTACTTAATGCACCAAAATCATAACCCATGAGTTAAAATATTAAAAATTATATCACTTATGAATCTTGTTAATGTCTTTTAAGAGGAAAGGTAAGCTATTTAATTGTTACTTTAATCTCAAGAAGTATTTTTTTTATTATAAATGTATACTTTTTAGTGGATATTTTTATTTTTAAAAGATTTAAATATTAAGCTTAATAATATACTTCAAATCAAATTATCATCATATCCTGATTAATGTAACATCAACAAAAAATAAATACTTCACAGCTATTCGAAGCAATCATCCATAAAGATAAAAATCAATGGTGTGCAACAAAATAAAATAAATTATTTAAAATAATCTAAGAATAAACTGATAAATAAATAATTAATGATTTAGTTTATTTGTACACTAATATGAATTGGTTGATTGGTTATTAGTGATATGTGTGTGTATGTATATATATATATATATATATATATATCAAATTTGTATATGCATACAAAAAACAAAGTGTATGTTTTTTATAAATGGATTTTATATTAATAAGTTATTTTTTTCTAAAATATTAGATTTAGTCAATGCTATCTCTGAATATAATGTATGTAAAAACACTGAATATTTTTAAATATATACATAAACAAAAACACATCATTTCTAATCTAAAATTTGTTCCAAATAAAAACAAATGATGGTTTGAATATATTTTGGATCTAAATTACATGAATATGATATTATTTTTTTAAGTATATAGATTATAAGTCATCTTTAAAATTAAATTTATATTTATGATATATATATATATATATATATATATATATATATGTATATCTACAAAATATATATTTTATAGCTAGAATTTTTAATTTTTTTATAGATTAATAAATTTTAGAAACCACCCAAAAAAATATTATATTATATTAAAAATCATTAATCTTCTTTAATTTTATATAATTATTCTTAATTAGTCTTAAAATTTCTATTTAAAGAATAACTATAAATTTATATTTTAGAATATATATAAATTTAAGAGTAATTAAATATTTTATAATTAATTAACTTATTTTAGTTTTAAAATTTTATGCTTATTTCTAAATAACATCATTTTTTAGAAAAATATATTTAAATTTAAATAAAAATAGAAGAATGTAATATACACACATATATATATATATATATATATAGATATGATTGTTGGATCAAAGAACATTTACAATAGAAAAAAAACCTATATAAATCTCAAAAACCACCTAATTTGTAGAAGACACATTTAAATTCTATCTAAAGTTCAAAAATAATACAATATTTTTTTTTACAAAATATCTATTAAATAATTTTTTTTTAAAATTGTACTAAATGTTTTACAAAGATATTTTTAAATACTCTTCTAATATAATTTCTTTCAATTATTCTATAAAATAGTAAATTTGATGTTATGTAAAGTTTAAATATAATTTAACACATTTAAGTTTCACTATTATATTGTCCAAGTTGATTGAATTATGAATTAATAGAATTTACAAGAATATCTAAAGTCTTTGTATATATATCTTGACCTTCTTTAAATCATTGTCATACCTAATTACTGAAAATATATTATTTTATTTAAAATGCATATATATAATTTGATAAAACACTTTTTGAATATATGACTTCTTTCTTTTGTAAAGTATAGATAAATTTTCAATTAACTTTAATCAACTAAGATTTTATATAACTTTTTAAAATTTTATTACAATAACATAGATGGACTATAACATACATTTTTATGTTTTTATTATATTATAATTTTAGCCAAATTTGTTTTAAGATTATATATTTTATTTTATTTTATTTTATAATATACAGATTATTAATATTAATATTGATAAAATATATGATTTCAGTATTTATTTTTAGTAATACCTATATAAGTAATATATATAATTTTTAATTATATGTATTTTTTCATGGACATAATAATAATAATAAATAAATAAATAAATTTGATAAAAAAATATACTTTTATATTATTAAAATAAAAAATTAGACAAATGAGAGGTAAATTATATATAAATCATAAAATTAAAATGAATTTTTTTTATTATAGAGAGATTTGAGTTAAAAATTAAAATACAAGAATAGTAGCAATAAGATTGATAATCGTTTTAATAATGCCTTTATGAATACTAGCTATCAAGAGGGTCTTCTATAAGCCTGTCAAAAACCACAAGACTTATAGCCTAAGCTTCAAGTTATAAAATGCCTCTAACACAACATTCTAAAAGAAAAAAAAATTATAGTATAAAATTAAATAGCTACATGGAATATTTATAGGATTTTGAAGATCACATTTGTATTTAATAAAATTCTTTAAATTTCCTTAAGAAATATGTCAACTTCCAAATATGTTTTATCTACTTCTACTTGCTTCTATTTACTTAAGTAATATAAACATTTGTTATTCTCTTCTTTTAGGAGACAAGTTTCACAAGCAATAGTTAAGTTAATATATAAGTTTATGGTGTCTAAGATTTGTTGAATAGTTTTGTAACAAACTTACATCATTGTTTTATTCAAAGGTGGTTGATAGGTTCTTTAAATTATTGATAATTTTTTATTTTAAAATGCAAATTATACCTTGTTGTTTGATTGTTTTTGATGCCTTCATAACTACCTTCAAATAAAACATTTTGCATACTATCTAGCATAATATCTAATTCTAATGGTAATCTTAAATATCAAAAGTCTCTTCCAAGATTTTAGTAGCAAATATACTATATTCCCATCTATTCCAAGAAAAACACGTCTTTTTTAAAAATCTTCATAACAATTCTAATGTTATGGAGGTTAAAAAAACTTGAGTAATTTATTTAGATATATTGCAATTAAAAATAATTAAAATAAAATTATTGACTATTAATTCTCAATATTGCAAAGAATTTTGTATAAATTGATCTTTAAAATTCTTTCTCCTTTATTTATACCACTTTGCTTCAAATAAGTGATCCATAATTTTATGATATTTATCAATAAAAAAACCACAAATCTTGATGTGTTTATAAGATTCTTAGATGGCCCTTTTTTGCATTTGATGATATTATATTTTTATAAATATACATGATATTTTAATTTATTTAGTATTGCTTTGAATCTAAAATCTTTTCTATTCTAAATTTTAAATTTTTATTTATTTCAACAAGAGGTAGTGGTAAGCCTTTTTAGTATATTTATTAATATCTAAGGCTTGTTAAAATATTTATGGAATAAAAGATAAATCTTTATTTATTTTGATAACTACAATAAATGTTCAATTGGATAATTTTTTTAAATAATAATTGCATTAAAAATTTGAAAATCCAGATTATTGCAAGATTAATTAGTCTTGATGTTATAACAAAGTAATTATGTCTTTTCACCAACTTTGAATAAAATTTGATTTTTTATTAACACTTGCATTAAATTTTTCTTGTTTTTGAGCTACTTTGAAGTTATATCTTCATTGTTGCATGAAAATTTTCTATTTTTATGCTATATCCTCTACTACTAAAAATTCTATTTTTAAAATTTTGAAAGTACTAAATTAAAGATAATAGTTATATTTAAAGAAAAAATAATTATTGAATGGAAGCATATACTATATTAATTCATATAAACGTTACTTAAAGAAAGACAACTTTCCAATCTTCTTGATGATAATTGATGGTATATTGCATTTATTGCTCAAAAACTTAATTTATTCATTTTTCTACAATCAATGAATTTAAATAGAATTTTTTCTATTTTTTAAATTTTTATGTCACAATTAATCTGTTGAGAATATTTTTCTATCGAATTATAGCTAATATTTACTTATAAGTATCTTATTGTGGATTCTTTATTGTAAATAATTTATATAATTCTTTTTAAAAATATTTTATTGTATATAGTATTTTTTAGGTATCTTATTAATGATACCTTACTAAAGATATTCTATTTGGGGCCTTCTTTAAAAAATCTTGAAAGGCATATTGCTATAAATATCTTATTTGATATTACTATAAATTTCTTATTTGATCTTATAGCAAATATCTCCAACAATATCTAAAAAGATACATTGTTGTAGATATCCTACTATTATCCTACATAAAACACTATGTTTGATACCTTATGCATTTTTTTTTTGTTGTAAATCTAACTTCAAAGTGAAATAAAATCCTTCCATAGCCTAATGCCTAGAACATTTGTATATTAATTTTTACAATATACAATAAAAATTAAACTTTTTTTATAAAATATTTATAAATATTATAGACCTTCAAGTGAAAATATATATACTTAAGTATATTAATTTATATAAAAATATAAAAAGGTAATTATTAAAATATTAAAATTTGATGATAAAAAATGC